TGATGGGAACAAGACCTCTAATCTCCACACGTTGCTTCAAAAAGCTTCTTGTGCATTCTACAGACGGTCATGGAGATTTCATCTGGATTATATTGCACTGTCTGCGAGCAGTTTTTCTACTTGCTCTCTCAGTCTGGCCTTTTAAAAACAACCTTCTGAATCATTATGTGCTTTATATCTGTCAGGTTTATGCAGCATCATGATTGAAACTTAAGAAAAATCAGGTAGAAAGGAAAGTGTTTGAAATGAAACCTGATGAGATTTGGTACATATTATCACTGTGTGATATTAAACACTATGTCTTCTCGGGATTTGGTATTCATGACATACTTAAGTACCACTACTCTATAACAGTAAAACTGCTTAGAGTTAATATAGAGCATATGGAAGAAATGAGTGTTTTCTGAAATGACTTTTTGCCACCTGGTGACTGGCTGCAGGTGAGGTCACAAATCTTGCCTCCTCTGGAATATGACAACATAGAGGTCATGGATCAAACTAAAGTCAAAGAACACAAATTATTTGTTTTTAAAGATGGCTTTTGTCATTTTAAGTAGTACTTATCGCACCTCGCTAACATGCCTCCATTTCCCCGATCGCCACTGTCCAGACTCTGGCTGCGCAAAAAAATGGATCTCTGTCTCACCACCACAAATTGGTTGCTTTCCTTTCTTAACTAAAGGCTATTTGTAAATGAATGTGTCTTCGTCTCCTTCCAACTCAGGATTACACCATGCAGTGATGCTTTAATCTGGAGAATCACTTTGCAATTTAATCAGCGGGTCACCTGAATAAATATGATTCGTCTTTTGGTTGTGATAATAGAATTATGCTCCTTGCATGAAGAAGAGATGGAAGAGATGAAATTGGAACGGGAGTAAAAAGGTCAAGGAGAGAGAGAAATCCAGATAGCTGCACAAATGTTGAAATTGAGATGGTAAACAGTGCGGCTGCTGTATTATGCAGACTGCTTCTCGCATACAAACAAAATCTTGTTGAAACCAGATGAAGAGGCCAGGACATGTTGCACATACATAGAGAGATTGTGAGCGCAGAAGTGGGAGGTGAGAGAAGGAAGTGGAACAAATAAACAAGATGAGAAAATTCTAACAATAACTTGAAACAAATTAAAAGTAGCACAGGGGCAGCAACAGACGCCAACATATATTGTATTTTTGTTATGTATTTAAATGGCATTTCAGGGTAGACACTCAAACATTTTCATGCCACTTATATGTTCTGCTTTGGTTAGATGCAGGCAAAATATCACCTGAGCAACCATTTAAAGAGGGAACAATCCCTCACAAAAATCAAATTGCTTCCACTTTATATAAAAAAAGCTTTTTCTAACCGAGAAAACGTTATCTTTCAAATGGCTTCACTCACTTCAGTTACAGGGAAATTATACCAGAACAGATTGTTTACTGTACATTTCACCTTCCACTGTGCTTGCATGGTGAAAACAAGAATCAGACTAAACACTCAAAAATGTATCAGAAGTAAATAAGCAGATAAACAATACGCTTTATTGTATCTGAGAGAATCCAGTCACGCAGCTCCTCTGTCTGTTCCTGTAAACTCACCTGTGTTGTCAATTGGCCATGTGCAGATTCAAAGCACTAGACTTTTAGATGGCATGCCGTTCAGGAAATTAAACCTTTGAATATATTGAATGAAACTTTGAACATATTGAATGAAACTTTGAATATACTGAATGAAACTTTGAATATATTGAATAAAGTCTGAATATATGGAATGAAACCTTGAATATATTGACTGACGTCAGACTTCATCGCAGTGCCTGCGGCAATCTTGTGTAACGTGTGGATGCTATGGCTAAAAGTGAGTGACAATGAGTTAGTCCGCTCACAATCTCGTTGCAGCAATATTAAACTATGAGGACATCAGTAACACACTGGCGAATGCGTGTACGGGCCAAAATCCCCCAAAGCTGTGTCGCGGATCATCAAATACGTTTAATGCTAAACGAAATATTCAGCCTGCATTGGTCTATGAATGTGGGTGATTCTTATTGTATTTAAACAAATTATGAAGAGCGTCTCTTTCAGTTCATGAAATCCCTGTAGCCGCAGCAGCTTCTCCAGTGCCGGAGAAGTGCCTCGTCAGAGTGCAGTGCCATTACGCATGGCCCTTCACTGTGTTTCACCTTCATTAAATCACCTGAAAGCTATATCAAGCTAACCATACAGTGTCTTGGGCCCTTTTCTTGTGTATGGGTGGAGATTGTACACATTGTGTTGTCGGGCACTCCTGTGAGGTTGAAGACATGCTGAGGTTGGCCTGATAAACAGCTGTCTGTTGTAGTAGGTCTGCCACGATTAAAAAGGGAAGGAACTTCCTTGTCAGAAGAACGGCATTGGGCGGGGCTATCGGGGGGATTTTGGGCCGTACAAACATTCGCCAGTGTGTTACTGATGTCCTCATAGTTTAATATTGCTGCAACGAGATTGTGAGCGGACTAACTCATTGTCACTCACTTTTAGCTATAGCTTCCACGCGTTACACAAGATGGCCGCAGACAGTGCAGTGAATTCTGGCGTCGGTCAAATTTCATTCCATATATTCAGACTTCATTCAATATATTCAAAGTTTCCTTCCATATATTCAAAGTTTCATTCAATATATTCAAAGTTTCATTCCATATATTCAAAGTTTCATTCCATATATTCAGATTTCATTCAATATATTCAAAGGTTTAATTTCCTGAACGGCATACCATACATAATATATATATTATATATATATAGAGAAGATTAAGTTAACTTTATTTCAACAATTTCAACAGTTCTTCTGTTGCAACCTGTTCGATATTATTACTACAGAACTGTTTGGACATGGACAGTGAATCTTTCATCCACAAATGGAAAGTAATTAACCATTTTAATCATATTTATAAACCTAGTATGTAACCAGAAGTCTATTTTCACACTTGTGATTATATTTGTGATCTGGTAATTGTTGCATAAACACATTACGTCAAAGTTACACTTGATGCGATGTCGACACAGAATAAACAAAGATACTGTATGTTTCATAAAGAATAAAGAAAACAACAATGTCTTTTTTCACAGATTTTTTATTTGTCAAACTGAAAGAGCTTTTGTTTGAAGCAACATCTTACTTGACTGTACACAGTTTCTCACTCTCCTCTGCAGGCCTACGCCAGCTCTCTAACAGATTTACATGTTCTAGATAGTGATTGACACTCAGACTGAGGAGGTAAGAAAGAAGATGTGCAGCTGACGCAGAAATACAAAGACAGGATGAGTCTCCCACTTGGCGCCCCCCTTTTAACCAGTGAGATGAAGTTTTACAATGCACAAGACAATCCATTGGTGAGTACAAAGTAAAGGCTTGTAGATCTTTTATGATATGCAGGAACATAATGTGCCGGCGGACATCTTTGTTATACGGTACCGTTCAGGTTCAAACTCATACATCATGCAAAACTTCCTCAGAGCTTTGTAGACAGCCTGCTCTGTGATAAGAGCTCACAGGAAGAGAACTACAAAGATCACTCAGAGCAGATGCACGTCAAACTAGAGCCATTTGGAGAAATCATCGTGGAAAATGTTCAAGACAAATAATCTGTTAGAAATGATCTGTTTAGGCTTATTCTGTGTCCATGATCTTAAGGAATGACAATCACTGATTTACACCAATAACAATTTTCACATGGTACGTTACAGCAAAGTCTTTCAGTGTAACATAGAAGTACAGACTGAGTTCGGCAATAACACAAATAAAGTTTTTCCAACATATCCCTTAGATCTTCACATATCAGGCCATTATAATTTTATATCATATTCATTTGCCAAACCAGAAAGTTATTAGCTATACTCAGTTCCACTTATCCAGATACCAGTTCAAACTTTAGTTTTAGTTTTCAGACTTTATATGAATACTCGTCAACTACAACAACAATGATGTTCATGGCGTGACAGCTGGAGAAGCTCTGGAACACGACAGTGCAAAGTGAGCTCCGAAATATTTGGACGGCGACACGTTTCCTGATGTTCTCTGGCTGCGCTTGTCATCAGTGTGGATGCAGAAGTCTGTCCAAAAAACAGTTTGATTCCAATGCACTTACTGTATTCATTAAATATAAAGTGATGAGAATAACTGTGGCACGCTTGTTTATCTAATCTAGTCTGTCAACCAAATTCGAAAAGGCTGATTAAATTTTTTTTTGTAGTACTTTCTTTTTCAGGCTGTGCTGCGATCTCAGACCAAAAACACTCCATTTCAACAAAATGAAGAGATTGGCTGGTTAACTGACTGAAAGGTGACAAGTAAGTGAAACGTAAAGCATAAAAGTAGACATGGCTCCTTTCAGCTCTTATTGTAGCACTCCAGAGCTTTGGGGAAAGTAGTCAAGAGTGGAAACCACAAGACTAATCCAGGCCTATTTTTAACGCTGCGTAAGGAAAGGCTGTGAGGTTTGTAACCACTGCAAAAGACCTCAGGTACTTGTTTAATTCCATTTATTTAACCAGCCGAGCAGCACTGTTCATTTCCTGCAGGGTAAAACGGTGCAAAAAGAACACATGATCGGTATAACTGCATCTTTATCCCCAATGCCCGAAACCCTTTTCTCACCCTGAACCTTATGAATATGCAACATGCTGCTCTCACGTTTCATTACTGTATTTTCTTATTCCAGTATGGTGATAAAGATTAAACTCCCAGAAATAAAAAAACTTGAAAATTCTCTGTACTGTAACCACGGTTCATCATCATTGTAGGT